GAAGGAAGGGAGTTATGGGGGGAAAAAAGAGGAACAAATGTAATAATCTGAACAATAAAGATTTAATTAAAAAAATAAATAAATAAAATAAACAAACAAACAAAAAAAGATCTTTTTAAAAATCTGTATCCTATGATTGAAATCATGGTGAGGAAATTTAAACTAGGACCTGTACAGTGACTATTACTTTTGAAGGGAGTGTCTGTCAAGGCTCAAACTTCAGGAAGAAAAATGTAGACGAAGGGAACATTTTTCTGAATGAGGAACTGCTAACAGGGGAACCCCCTGGGCCTTGTTGATATGGCCATTTTTATTTTATTTTTCAGATTTTTTTATAACTCAAGTTCATTTTCATCTATCTATCTTTCTATCTATTTGTTTATTTATTTTGTTAGGGCTCACTGAGGATATTTTTTCCATTGATTTTTAGAGACAGTGGAAGGGAGGGGGGAGACAGAGAGAGAGAAACATCGATGTCAGAGACACACATGATCGGTTGCCTCCCATAATTGGATCTGGGATTGAGCCTGCAACCGAGGTAGGTGCCCGGAATTGAGCCCAGGGCCCTTCAGTCTCAGGGCCAACGCTCTATCCACTGAGCCAAACTGGCTAGGGCTGGCCATTTTTATTTAATAGTTAAATTACTTTTAAGAGCCATGATAAAAATTCCAAGCCATGAAAAGGACATAAAAATGACTGAAGACTCCTTCCGTAAGAGCAGTGGCTGTTTGGCAGTTATTCTCAATCCCCGGTGCATATTAGAACCAATTGGGGAGTGTTTAAAAGATTGCCCACCCCACCCCAACCCCGCCACCTCCTCCCAGGGACTCTGGGCCCAGGCAATGGCTGAGAACCTTTGCTTGAAGTATTCCAGGGTCCAATGTGCTGGGCAAACGAAGGGGGTCACATTGGCATCAATGGGAAAAAAACAGACAATGTGATTCTGATCTTCTGCAGGACAGAAGGAGACTACATGTTGCAAGGAGACTACAAATGTAATTGTTGAGTTTCAAAGACCAAGACTTTGGAGGAAAATATATTTAAAATGCAGATCCTGAGAGGTGAATGTGGGCTTGCTCTGAACGCCAGCAGGGTGCTATGATGGAGTTTCTGGGGAACCACAGAGGGATCATACTGAGGCCAGCAGAAGAGGATGCGAAGTGTTCTCGGGGGCAGTGGCCAAATGAGCCGAGGCGTGCACCAGGCCGCTGGGAATGAACGGCTCCTGGGGAGGGCAGGAGGGCTGGCTGCAGAGGCGAGGCCTCACCCGGCTGCCATGAGAGCCAGGGCTGCTGCTGCAGTGACTTCCTGGCCGATGTGGAGGCAGGAAGCTCTTGGAGGAGGAGGAAGGGCACCTGGGAAGCAGCGGGGAGAGTTTGGAGGAGCAGGGCTTAGTGCAGATCTGGCTTGGGCCTCTCTGCGTGTTCCCGTGGAGGCACCCAGGGCCCTGTCCTCCGGGGTAAGCTTGCTCCCACCTCAGTGACAAAACAAGCCACACCCTCCACCACTCTTCTGCCCAAGAAAGCTGACCAGCCAAATCCACTTTCCCTTCTGACAGGAGAGGAGGGTGCTCACTGCGTCCTCTGCAACAGGAACCGGGTCCACGTATCACACCCAGAGCTGGGGGGAGTGGCTGGCTCGATGCCAAACCACGACTCAGTAAGAGAAACTACATGGAGGGCGGTGGGGGCACGCCGAGGTTCTGCGTTCCGCTCTACGGTGGAGCCCAGCACGCACCTCTCCCCAGCTCGGAAGCCTCACATTCTGTGACATGAACCAATTCCCTGCTCTTTTTTCAGTCTCTGCAGGGACACAAGTATGTACATCATGTTTGCATAAAGCAACGGATATCTGGATTCACTTGGAGGAATAAATCGATGAACAAATCAGGTTTTTGGCTATTATGTCCAACACTAGAAAAATATGAACCACAATCCATCCAGTTCAGACAGACTTTCCTACATCAGTTACATCCCAGGCTCTAATGTTCACACGCATCACTTGGCAGCTGTTACAGGCAGACTCTGCTTCAGGAGGTCTGAGGTGGGGCCTGAGATTCATCTCTTACAAACCACCAGGTGGTGCGGTGCTGCTGGCCCAGCTCCGCAAGCCCCTAAAGAACCCTAGGTTTTTCTGTCAAACTAGTCTCTCCTAACCAAGTAAAAGGAAATATTTAGGTAAAATCACAGTAAACAATTCTGAAATGAAAAAATAAAAAAGGAACAGAGGAAACTATGCTTGAATTATCTACACTCCCTGTACAGTCACAGAACTAGTAGCAGAATTTTAGAAATGGGGGAAATCGTGAAAGATGAGCCCCTTCGGCCTCTCAATGCCCAGATGGGGACACGGAGACTCCGAGAGGGGCCCAGCTTGACCCACTCCGCTCACACAGCTCACTGATTTCGCAGTGAGCACTGAAGTCCAGGCTGCCGGACCCACGGTGAGGGCTCTTGCTCTAGCCTGCGAGGATGGGATGGTAAGAGATGGTTAACCTTCTTTTCATACACACGCCACTGTTAGCTTCATGGCCCTAGCAATGACGATTTTTTTTTCTGTTTTAACCTAAATACAAGTCCCGTTAAGCGCAAGCGCACTTCAGCCCCACGACCGGACCACAGTGCTGTGTTCTTCCAACGGTGAGGGCTCTTGCTCTAGCCTGCGAGGATGGGATGGTAAGAGATGGTCAACCTTCTTTTCATACACACGCCACTGTTAGCTTCATGGCCCTAGCAATGACGATTTTTTTTTTCTGTTTTAACCTAAATACAAATCCTGTTAAGCGCAAGCGCACTTCAGCCCCACAACCGGACCACAGTCCTGTGTTCTTCCATTTAGCCCTTGGATCATGGCCACTAGCAACACAGGCTGCCGCACTGACCATATGGAAAATATCCCAGTCCTCGCTCCCTGATAAGCACGGCGGGAGAGTTGAATCATCACCACCAGGAACCAAATCATAAAATACATTATTTGTGAATTGGGAATTAAATAGCAGAGTTAAAGCAATATTTGTATTAGTGTGTGATAAGGTCTGGCGAAGCGAACGATCCCCAGATAGGAACGCGTGAAATAGGCTTCAGAGTGATTTACAACCGAAGGCCACCATGGGCCTGGCGGGAAGTAACCACAGGGTTTTGCCTGATGTTTATTCTCTTGGGGACAGATAAACACCCACCCTCTCTATTGGGCAGTGCGGAGCCCTGCAAAAAAACGGTAGGGACAAGCGAGTCTGAGGGCAAACACCCCAGCGTGTTCTGGGGTGACACTCAATCCTCCTGCAGGTTTGGGCGGGGCGGGGAGCGGAGGGCTCTGCACACACCGAGCAGCTGAAGCCTGGCTCCAGGTTCAAGCCTCCGGGAAGGGAGGATGCAGCGAGGGGGGAAGGAAGCCTCTTCCTCTCCCTGTCAAGTGAAGGAGTGAACCCAGGATGACTTTCAAATATGGAACAACACCCAAAACTCAAATGCAGAACAAAGCAGTACCGGAATGAAACCATCCGCAGAAAAGTTGCTGGGCAGCCGAAAATTATTAAATTGCTGTGTAAGTAAATGGTAAAAGCCAAATAGCAAAGAACCTGGAAGAGAGATAACCACCGTGACTCCTGCTGACAGCCACCGCTCTCACCAGCGGGAGCAGGGTCAGCCCCTGCACCCAGGCGGCCAGTGTAGGGCTCGGCTCCTGCGTCTACCGCCTACAAGTGGACTTAACCTCTTCGAGTCTCTATTTCCTCCTTTAAAAATGGCATCAGCCTACCTTGAAGTGTGGTTGTTAGTGTTACGGAGACGGTGCATAGAACATTCCCGGCCGCCACAGCCACGTTGGAAACCAGGCTCTCGCCTAACTGATTCGTTTGCTCATCACACAGACGTTATTGAGCTCGGGCAATGCCCCCGCTGTGTGCCAGGGACACTCAGCAGTCACCGGGCTGACACCCTGCCCACCAGGGGGGAGGGGGAGGGGGAGGAGAGGACGGTGAACAGACAGACAAATATACACTTGGCAGGTGGGGAGAAGTGCCCGGAAGGGAGAAAAGCAGGGCGAGGGGCCAGGCAGTGCAGAGCGCGCCCTCACAGAAGGGCTCTCCGACGAGGCCCCGTGACAGCATCAGCACCCCCGCAGGTGCCCGCTGCTGCAGACGGTACCTGCACGGTGGAGTGTAAGAACGCCACTGTGTAGAGCATCGGCTTCCACATGGGCAAGTTACTGATGTCCAGGAGGTCTTGGTTAATTCCGGCGAATGTCCTCTTCAAGCCTGCGCGGACCCCTTGGGGCGGCTCGTTAGTGAATTTGAGAGAAGTCTGTCGCGAAAAGCAAAGGGTAATTTTGTTTCTGTAAATGATTGCAAAGGATAAAGCAGAAATTACAATACGTTAGACGGCAATATGCTTGTGGTACAAAAAAATGGGACATTGATCAGAGCGGAAACCCAGTAAGTCAGCCCCAAGTCTCAGAAGTCCTCTGTGGAAAGGCTTGTATAACCTCGGTGATTACAGGGGGAGGTTTTGCAGGGCCGCCTCCACTGCACTGGAAAGCCCTGCTGTGTCTCCATCCTTTGGTAACGCCCGCGATGCTGCCTTTATTTGTGTAACTCTCAGGGGAAAGACACTTATCGCCTAGGAACCAACCTGAAGCAAGGTGATCGGAAATCGGTCGTGGGGCTCGGTGGTTATCCACACGCGGAAGGACTCATCGCTGGCTTCGGTGTTGGTGATGGTCTCCAGCAGCTCCTCCATGAATTCCAGGCCGAGGTGACAGTTTTGCAGCAATACCCAGCCCCCCTGCATTCCAAAGTGATTTCATATTAATTTCTTATAACCTTTTGGCTATGATGTTAATAAAAACAAAATGGACAAATTCTTTTCAAACCTTTGCTTAGGGAACGTGAATATTCTGTTTTGAGCCTATGTTTTTCGTAAAATTATTATACATCAATGCAATCATTTCTTCTGCCCCTGATAAAGCTGTTTACTTGGAATCGAGCGGGCTCCCAGGGACTGTATTCTGCCACCCCTGACTCAGGAGGGAACAGGAATGAAAACTTGCAGTCAGACTTGTGTAAATATAGTGTGTGCGCCATCTAATGGCGGGAATGGGGATTTTGGAATCTGTACCTTAAATTGTTCTGCCTACAGTCAATCAGAACTGACTCGCCCCCAAACTCTAGTTACAAACAGAGGTACACATTCCCTCATGAAAACTGGAGACAGCACATTCGGTGACATTTGCTACCATAAATACGAAGCCTCGTTCTTTGTCATCACGCTTCCCCTAATTCCTGAAAGCACCGCATGTATTGAGCATGCTCTAAATCAAGGGTGGGGAACCTTGGTTCTGCCCAGGGCCATTGGGATGTTTGTAACATCATTCGAGGGCCATACAAAATCATCAACTTAGAAGTTAGCCTGCTCTATTTGGTCAAACAGTTAATTAACTCACCCCTAATGCCTGGGCAGGCCCAGACTAGGTGATTCTATAGGCCATCCACGGTCCTTGGGCCGGAGCTTCCCTACCTCTCATCATCTAAAGGCTGGATAAGACTAGCTTTAACACATAAGTCACACAACCATCACTGCTGTGTGAGGAAAAAAAAGTTTATTAACCAGACATTTTGCTACCCTTATATGATGGGATCAGATTAAAATCGGCTACAAAATATTGAGCACAGTAAGTTTATGATAAAGTTTGTGTGTTATGCTTTCTAACGTAAGAATATACGACGCCTGCTGGCTTAAACGGCAAGGACGACATGCTGGTCTCAACCACAGGGGAGTCTGGGAAGGCGGACTTCAGTTCGTTTGTGCCGTCATGGACCCGGGTACTCCGCGTTCCACAGTGTCAGCTTTATCCCAAACCCAGTGTCCTGCTCCAGTGGCCGTGTGGCTACACCGGGCCATGTGTGTGTTTTCCCCCAATGATGCCAGGATTGTCAGTACTGCTCCCACATGGAGAGAGAGAACATAAACGTTATGAAAGCCAGTATTCCAAAGAAGGTTAATGTGAATGAGGTCTCCACAAAACTTCTCACTCGTGGAAACTCAAGTAATTATTTAAGACCCAAAGTTCAACTGTCAACTCACTCAACAGAGTGGATCATTTAGTCCGAATAAAAATGATTATATGTAATTGCTTTGAATAGAAATTAAATACAATATATTATTGAATTTGATTAGGTGATAAAAATTAAGGCTTAGAGCACTTGGGAATTAATGGCCAGGTTGAAAATTTGATGACCCAGGCAGGGTTTTCGCTCATTAGCATTCTCTAGTCATTAATTCCCAGGCAAAACGGCACCAAAGTTGCTACGAACATTATGAGGTAAAAAAAAAGCTTAAAAATAAACCAAGATCTTATTTTATTTTCATAAATGGTGCAATTTCTTATTACGGCTGAAATTGCTATCTCCCAAGCATATCTAGAAAATTAATGTCCTGTGAATTTATTAGGTGTGACAGAAAACATTCCTCAACATTCCATCCAGCTTGCGATTTCCAATAACAACCGTCATCAATATTTAAACTAAAACATCCTCAAATATTTATTTGGCTGAAACTACCCATTCATGAAAAATGAAAGACTAATTTTAACCAAAAATTGAAATTTAACTGTCTCAATCTGTCACTTCCTATTCACACTGATCATGAAAATTGTAAGACGGTTAGGAGCTACTAGTATACCCGTAGGGACCCGAAAGTGTGTATGCCAAATTGTCCAAAAAGAATTAGTGAAAGTAGAACGGAGCGCACACTATGGGAAATGAAACGAGCTTTTTGTGGGGATGTCAGAAGCAAACTCGCTCGAGGTTGAAGATTCACAGGCAATCAAAGGTTGACTATATTATACACATAAACAAAATGGGACGGGCAACTGGGCCTCAGGCGCCTGCTTCCCCGGCCCGGCGGCCAGAGGACATCGGCGAGAATGTTGCCTTAGAAGCGCTTGCCCCCGCCACGTACCTGCTGCATGGACATCTGAATCAGCTTCCGCGCGTGCACTTCTTGGCCTTGCCCCATGGAGATGGTTCTGCACTCTGTAACACAGCAGAAGGTTCCCCACGTTAAAACATACATCTTATAACAGGATCGGGACAAAAAATTGATTTCTGAATGGTCATAGCCTCCCTCCAAGGAGCCATTGTTATTCAAACAGGCCTGGCCTTGCGTTGCACTGAGGAGAGGCATCAGTGGAGCAGAAAGTGGAGGAACCACCGGGAGAGGCAACAGGCCCAGCTCGGGCTCCCAGTGTCTGGGGTCTGTGGAGATAGGAGCAGGAAGGCTGATGTGGGAGAGGCGGCTGCAGTATTACTCAGAGGGAAGGAGGGGTTCCAGGGGCTCTGTTTTGATGAGAAGCCTCCCTTGGTGTTTTACAGATGCTCGGGGGAGACTGAATGGGGTTCCCACTCTTTTAGGACGCCAGGCTTGCAGCATTTTCTGTCTGTTTTGTCTGCGTTTGCGTGTTAGTCCGTTGCTGAGATGGAACTTGAGGTGGCCCGGCCCTCTGAGGGCTGCGTGCAGGGGTAGAGGCTCCTCGGATTAAATGGCCACCTTGGCAGTGAGCGCGAAGAGCAGGTGGAGACACTGGGGATCCGGAGTGTGGTTCTGATCCAGGGAGAATTCGCCCCTTTCGTAAAGAAATCCGACGTCCCGGGCGGAGAGCCACATCGGTGTCCTGCCATTGGAATTCACTACATTGAAGAAGCCTACGGATCTTGCCTGTGAAACTCGGATTGGAAATGAACGTTTAAGCACGCCTTCGTGGAGCCGGATGTTCTTGAGTTTGGGAGGCGTGATCCTGACGCTGGGAAAGGTCGCTGGAGACTTGGTGAAGCCGAGCATGCCTGGGCCCTGCTCTGCTGGATGGGCCCGAATCCTCAGACACATGGGCTGCCGTGGCCGGGCAAGCAACGCAGCTGGTCCGGGAACTGCTCGGAGGGTACAAGGGACTGGGGAGGCTCACGGGGTGGGGAGGGGACTGGGAAGGCGTGTCCAGAGTACACCATCTAAATGGCACCGTGTAGTTAATGGCCAGAGATTCCATTAGGGTTTGGAGGGTGCAGCATTGGGGTTATTTGTGGACTCGGCCACAGGGAGACACTGGGATGGGCGCCTGAGAGAGGATGGATGAGGAATTGCTACAGGCCAGGGGTTACTGAACAACTGAACCCCCGCCCCTGCCCCCGCCCCTGAAAAGGCCCCATAATCTCTCCTGCTCAAGAGGAACCAGGCCCAGGGGCATGGAGAAGAACGCACACACCTACAGAAGGAGAGGAAAGGGGAGTGGGGCTTGAATGGGAGGAGGCCCTGGATGGCACAGAGACACCCTGGACACCTCTTACGCGGGAAGAAACACACAAATGCTCAGCGGGTCAGCGGGGGAAGGCCGATGTGGACAAACATACTAACATGTGCGTGCGAGCCACAGTCCATCTCCTCTCCTCCCAACTCTTCCGAAATGCACCCTCCAAAAAGAACTGGTTCGGGTCACTGTAAGACACTCAGGGGGCCTCGGTTTCTTACAGTGACCCAGGTAACAGGTCGGGAGGAGACTTGGAGGCAGGATCTGACCACTTCCCGACATCTGCACCCCCGCCCCCCCATCCAAGTGACCATCCCCTCTTGCCCGGATCCTTGCGGCAGCCTCCTAACTGGGGGCCTCACTCCCACTCCTGCCCCCTACTAGCTTCTCTTCCCACGGCAGACGGAGGGATTCTGTCCAGCCCTGAACTCTGGATTATGTCCATCCTCTGCTCAGAACCCTCTGATGGCTTCCCATTTCATCCACAGCAAAACCCAAAACCCAATCCAAAGTCCTTACCCACAGCCTCCAAGGCCCTACACAATCGGCCCCCACTCTGCGCAAGCGCCCGCGCGCGCGCACACACACACACACACACACACACACACACACACACACCCCTTTTCTTATCCCACCACTGTCCCCCTCATTCATTCACTTTTCCACAGCCGCACTGGCCTCTACACATACTGCAGCCTCACTACTGTTTCCTCTGCCAGAATGTGTTTCCCTGTCAGGGGCACTGACTTCCCTCCACATCTCAGTCTTCCTCGCCCTCCCTACCAGGCCTTCCCTGATGATACAGCCAACCCCTCACTCTGCCCCTCACCCTGCTTCTTTTTAGCTTATTACTTACTCACTTGCTTATCAATCATTGCTTTGCCCCACACTAGAATGTCAACTCCGCGGGAGAAGGGACTTAGCTCTGGTGCCTTACCCAGCACTAGGCAATAGCTCAATAACTATTGAGGTGCTCAATAACTGTCTCCTTACGCTTTTAAAAGTGACAAATAATTCACATATCAGGTTAACGTATACAATCTGAATTATGTTTTTAGTGTATTCATAAAGTTGTAGAGCCATCACTATACTCTAATCTCAGAACATTTTCATCAGCCCAAAAAGAAGCCCCAAACAGTCTCTCCCCATCACTCCCTCCTGCCCCAGCACTCACTAGAAAAACAACAGAGAATCAGCAAATGAAAAGCACAGGATCTTCTTTGAAAAGATCAAGATTGGCACCGTGAGGGGGTTCTCCGGGAGGACCTGTGGGAGATGCTGCTGTCGGCAACACGGCATAATTACTCTTCGGTGGTCTCGGGTTTGGGCTCGTTTTTTATTTTTTAGTTGTTTCTATTTGAGAGACTTTAGTAAGATTTCAACTGCATTTCCTTCCCAAATTAGGCTTGTGTCTCCTTCACTTTTCCTCTTCCTTTTAAAAACAAACATTTTATTTTTTACTAAGTAATATATGTTCATAGTGAGAGCCTTGGAAAATGTAGGAGAGCATAAAGAAAAAATAAAAATCACCAATATCCTTTGCTAGAAACCTTCATTCTAATCTTTTTTAATATGCACAATCCACAATCCCTTATGCTCAAAATTCAAAACATTTTAAAAACTGAAAGTTTTGCCATAAAATTAATTTAGTGGCAAAAGCTGACCCGAATGGATATGAATCTATTTATAGCCTTTATTATCACTATCTTTATTAATATTAATACTCTTATCTGCAGTGTATTATATAATATATGGAATACTACCTGTTTAAAAGCTGGAAAATTCTGATTTCTGAAACACATCTGGCCCCAAGGGTTTTGAATAAGGAATTGTACACCTATCTATATTAAAAATTTTATATATGTCTTATATGCATGTGTGTTACATATATACATATGCATTACATACTATATGTACATATGAAATAACATACACGTTACTTTATGTCTCTACTTCTTAACAGTATGTTGTGAGCATTTTACTGCCATTAAATATTATTGGAAAGCAGTTTTTCATGGCAACATTCTGCTGGTCATTCAGCCACAACCCTTTCACATATTTAGGACATTTCCAATTTTCCAGTATTATAACTAGATTAAGCATCCTTGCATGTAAATCTTGGTGTGTATCTCTCAGTAGGTTCTTGGGGAAAGTTCTTACACATAGAACACTTGGGACAAAGCATGCATCCTTCTTGAGGAGGATTGGTGCCATGTTAGTATATAGAGAAGGACGGCCATGGTCCCAGCTGAAGTGGAATGTGTACTTCCTAACCCGCACTCCGACCCGCGGCTGCGCTGTAACTCATGGTGCTGCAGACGTACAGAAGTTTTAAAACTTTGTGCAGATGATCCATCTTGTCCCCTGGGTTGGGACTCTCATATTATGATCAAGGAAACTGCAGCCACCGCAATACTATGTAAGTATTCAGTGCATTCCTTTTATTCTTTTACAGCTTGATTTAAAACACTTAAACACCTAATCACTGCACAACTTACTTTGGGGTTTAATGTGAAGGTGAAATCCTTTTTTCTGAAGGTAGTCTGCTACCCCAACACTGTTTACGTAATTCATTTTCCTCCACTGACTTGAAAGGTGAATCTCATCATAGACTAAGCTACTATATATACTAGAGTCTAATTTGGGGCCTTGTATTTTGCTCTGTTGATCTGTTTACCTATTTTGAGCCATCTTCACACTCATTAAATTATCTCAATTTGATGAAGTTTTTAAAATCTTGTGGTATTCATTCCCCGTTATTCTTTTTCCTTTTCAAGCTTTCTTGGTTATTTTTGTCCACTTATTGTTCTAGATGACCTAAGATCCCTCTCCTATCCCATCAGAAAAAAATAACTGCTGGAATTTCAATTACACTTGCATTCAATTTATAGATTAATCTGGAGACTATTGACATCTTTACAATATTGAATCTTTATACTGGGAATGTGGTTTAACTGTCCATTATTTTATCTTACTTTTATGTCTCTAAGCAAGTTTTATAGTTTTCTTTTAATGGGTATTTTAAAAATTATTTCTCAGTTTTACTTTTATTGCTATAGTGAATGGGACTTTTACATTTTATTTTACAAGACGCTCCATTGATTTTTTAATATATTTATTTTGTGATCAGCCACCTCGCTGAACTATCCTGTTAAGTCTGATAGTTTTTCAGCTGATTCATTTGTTTTTTTAGTTAGACAATTACACTGGCTGAGAGTAATGGTGATTTTTGCCCCTACTGTCCAGAAATTATATCTTTTATTTATTATTCTTACAATACATTAGCTGTATCTCCCACAACAGTGCTGAATAATAGTGGTGAGGGCAGACATCTTCATCTTCTTCTTGACTTTAATGGGCATGTCTCTGGTCATTCATCAACAAGTATGATGTTGATGTTTGAAGTTCATTATCACATTAACAAAATACTCCTCTATTTATACTTTTTAACAGCGAAAAACAAATATTAAATTTTTAATAAAATGCTTTTTTAGCCTCTACCAAGGCAATAATATGATAGCTTAAGGGAAAGTCTTTCACTTATTGTTGTGGTAAGATTTTTTATCTTTTTTATTTCAACTATGCATTCCTACTCAGTCAGGGCACATTATTATTATTATTTGCATGTTATTTCTTATAATATCACATTGAATTTTTCTTGCTTGCATTTTAGTTAAGATCCTTATATGTACAGCGCTAAGTTGATCAATCTGTGGTCTTATTTCTTTTATGCAGTTACTATCGTGGTCTGTTTTTGATATCAGGATAATGCTGTTCCCTGAAGTAAAGAGGAAAATGCATCCTCTTTTCCTCCCCTCTGGAATGGAATACAGCATGTGAACGTTGTAAAGGACTTATCAAAAAGATCACCCAAACCCACAGCCTTTGTTGAGATAATCATTTCAAAACTTCTAATTTTGCTTATCTCCATGATTAATCTATTAAGGTTTTTCTACCCTTTCTGAGGGTAGATCTGACTAGATCTGAGAAAGATTTAAAAGCTCCAAGGCTGTGCGAGAGGCACCACTCCTAGCCTAGACCAGTGCCGATGACTAGCATGCCGCAGTAAATACCAGAGCAAAACAGCTCATTTTAAAGGTGGCTAATGAGACTTAACCAGGAGTGATTGCCAAAAGAACCATTTAAACATGGATCTGTACAGAACATAGAACGGTGTGGTGACAATGAACTGAACAAAGTGAAAATGAGAAAAGTGGGAGTGGACACAGACCACGCTACCATACCTAATGGTTTACAGTAACTTCTTTATGCAGGGGGACATATGGCGAATACTCGGGGATGACTAAATGGATTTTGTGTCACATTTATATCAATTATATAATAAGCTCAGTGTAAGTTTTATTTCATAGAGTAGGTTTAGTGATTCATAATCAATTACTTTTATAATCTTTATAAAGACAGGAATGAATTAACGGTACAAGGCATAGTTATCGAGATCTGAACCTGGAAGATTGGAATTCCAACAAGGTTCAGATGTTCGGAGGATGGAGAGCGATAGACAGCCTCTGTAAGCGGGTGGCGCAAGTGTATGACCATGGGCTGTGCCTCTGCAGGTCCCTGTCCTTTAGCTCTGCCACTCAGTCACCGCTCTCACAACTTACGTGTTTATAACTCCTTGCCCTGCGTCCTCCCTCTGGAATAACTGTCTATTTCCCACCATTCTCATCTAATAAAATGTTATCTATTTTTTTTAGATCCTATTCAAAACAGCATCAATGTGATCCCTGTACCCCCTGCAGTCTGAGTAGCTCTGGAACTTGTAATCAGACATGTGTACGTAACTTTGTTACAATAGCCGTCACGTGGTCTTCAGTTAAGTGTTGGCATGTCTGCCTTCCCCAGCTGTGTTGTGCTCATCTCTGTACTCCCTGAATCCATCACCCTGACTGAACTAAATGGTTTCTGAATGAAAGCATGGATAAATGAATCCCCAATTACTATGCATTACAATGGTTCTAGTTTTTTTAAATTTGTGACAAAATAGACTTTGTTATAATTTTATATAGACACTAGAGGCCTGATGCACGAAATTCATGCAAGAGTAGGCCTTCCTTCCCTTCCCTCTCCCCCCCTCCCCTGGCTGCCAGCACTGGCTTCCCTCTGGCACCCAGGACCTGGGCTTCCCTCCAGCCACGGGGGGGCACCTGAAACCCAGGCTTCCCTCGCAGCCCTGGCTTCATCCGGAAGGTCATCTGGAAGGACGTCTGGTCTATTTAGCATATTATGTGTTTATTATTATAGATGGCAATAAAATCTGCTCTTGTAAGTTCATTCTTGCTAATCTACTGTCCATGTAGCATAGCCATCTGCTTACAACTTTAAACAAAAACAACAGAATATGGTAGATGAGTCTGTTCCTCTCTGCACAAAGATATCTCTCTCCCAACCTCACTCCAGGAGGTCTGAAGAGAGAGGAAAGAGTTTAGTACTTTTTTCTAATTCAGTTTTACGGAGATATTCCTAATCAGTTACAAAGTTATGAAAGGCAAAATTTGAGGCAAAAGTGTGTGGGGTTTGCTAAATGTCATAGCCTGCTGCTCATACCCAGCTTCAGCTTCTTGGCCAGGGCGTCGATTTGAATGGTGGGGTCGGACCCCATGGACAGGAAACATATCAGAGGTGTCCGTGTATCACTTTCTTCCCAAGTTTTCTCCAGGTTTAAGATAACTGGTTCTGTGTACTTCTCCTCCAGGGAACTTGCAATATACTTTCTTGCTTGAAAAACAGTGCGATCTGGGCACCAGGACCTAGAAATGGACACGACAGAGAGGAAAATAACGTAGTCTCTTCGTTTCTTATCCTATCTCATTCTAGGCACGTAAAGAACGTATTTAATTAGCAAAGGACAAAGAGCTAACTCTCCATTGTGCGGGTCTGAGTAAGGGCAAGGTCTTCTACCCTGGGTGAGTGCATATTTGGTCATGTGGTTTCAGTGCCGGGCAGATTCTGAAATTTTAATTGGCTATTTTTAAAAAGCGCATCAAATGATTATCCCTGGTAACTGGGGCTATCGCTTCAGGTAAGCAATTCATCATCCAAACTAACACACAGGAGCACGTTGATCTCTGGCAGGACAGTCATCAGGCGCCTGCTGCACACCAGGCCGCTCAGCAGGGAAGCAGGAGGGCGAGCCTGCGCACACAGGGAGCTCTG